AAGTCAAGAACAGATTGCAGGAGCAAAAAGTCCTCCTGGCAAGTTTAGAAACATTTTCAAGCCTCAGCGAGAACAGACTGCAAACGGCCGTATCACCGGGCCAAGGAAACTGATGTTTGAACGTTCAGATATCTCCCTCCCCCTGTAGCCTTTGAAATATGATTCAATTGCCTAACGAGGAGAAAGGTGATTAGCGCAAAATTGGCGGAACGTAAGCAGTCCTTCAGAATCACAGCCAGAAAGGAACGCCATGCAGTTCTGGCAGATTGTGGAAACGAAGTGACATGCAGCTGAAGGCAGAGAAACGATTATTCACAAACAGTCGCCATGCGATTATTCATGCTTTATAAACGTAATAAGAGCTATTCTCACACGAAGGTCGATGACGTCACCGTAACGTTTAATCATATAATGAACGAATAAACGGACGAATGAATGAGTACATGAATGAATCATTGATCAATGAATGTTGGTTCAACATCCTTCTGTCCAAGTTTGTGGTCAGTGTATTCTTTTGAGAAGAGCATCCTCAGGCGAATGAAGGAACCATTCAATTATGATGATCGTTGCTTTGGCAACCGACCGTTCTGAGGCCTGTCACGTGCGCTGCAGCTGCAGTAGCAGCTCTAGAGAACATACCCTACAGTAATTCGTAATGTGTTCTTGAGAATTTGTGAATAATGTCACTTACATGTCCTGTCGTAGCATAAGGAAAAACTGGACTCTGCACAATTAAATAAGCAAAACGATTCAGAAGTAGACTGTGGTATAATGAATCACCTTCAGATGAAATAATAGGTAATTAAGGCAAGGCAAAAATTCTCAGATTCCTATTTGCCTTTGCCATTTGTCGATTTCGAAAAGGTTTTTGACTCAGTCTACAACCAGCTTGTAAAGGGTCATATGAAGAGCCAAGAGCCACGGAATCGAGAAAAGATACTGAAGCCTAATCGTTATGATTTGCAAGAAGGCAACTGCCGATGTGAAGCTTCAAGAAGAGAAAGCGAATGAGTTATCGCCAACCTCAAACATCTGCAATGAGATGAGATCAACAGTCAACGTCATTTACTACCCTGATGAGCCTTCAATCAGCTGTCTGTCGGGAAGTTAAATTTTTCTTTCGTGAAGGCCGCACTATTTTGCTGTTGTTTCGAGTCTCTGTCCAAACCTAATCTTTTTTGGATGCCTCATTGGGCAATTCAAACATAGGTTCGAGTTGGTGAGGAAAATCAGAACTTCGAAGCTGTGGTTCTTTTACCTTATTAACGTTGTTCAGAAAATTGGCTGTGGTTTTCCTGTTCATAGTTTTGTCTATAGTTTAGTCATTGTCTTGCTTCTTCTCACTGTAATTAATGTATTCTTTACTTAATTTATAAAGATTTTTGATTATAGAAAAAACAAGATTAATTAGCGACCTTGTTCAAATAGTAAACTTCACTTTCACCTCATGAAGGCCCATGTAAATTCAAAATTGAAAAGGGTGCGTCTGACAGGGTGACGCAATATCACCAGAGTCATTCACAGCAGTTCTAGAAGGGTGGCTTGCAACACAATCATTTGGGAAGATCAGCGACTGGACATACATAGGCATTTCTTAAGGCAAATTCGGTCTTCTGATGACATTCAAATTATTTCAAGGTAATGAGAAAAATTCCAAAGAAGAATCCGGGAGAGAAGGCGCCAGAATCAAAGATGGACTGAAAATGGACCTCAAGAAGACTCATGTCCTGCTTACAAATACATGACCTAGCGGCCTATTGAAGTTAACGAACTGTGACTTAAAGATATGCATGATTAGGTCCTCTGCAACGAATAACTGACTATTTGAAATCAACAGAAGAATACAAGTGGTATGAAACATTTTTGGTAGAGTGAAAATGTTCTTCTCAGGGAAACTGCCCACACACATCGATCAGTGTGTGCTGCCAGTGCCAAGCCATGGATAAGAAACGTTAGCCTTAAGCGTGAAAGCTATTCATAAGCCGCAGACTACGCGAAACAACAGGGAAAGATGTATATCTCGAATAACAATGAAACATAGGAAGGCGGATGAATAAATAAGTGGACAAATATTAGTTTATCATTTTATTGCCCGAGTGAAGAAGAGGCAATGAGGATGTCACTTGCCTGAAGCACTGACCATCGTTCGACTATAAAAACAGACTGGGTTTCAGGAGGGAGCAAAACAGCTCATATAAAGACAATCGATCACAGGATGAGGACAGAAGTACGCTGAATCCAGGTGGATAAAAGTGGCAGTAAAATGAAGTGTATGGCATACTTTGGGGAGGCTTTCCTTCAGCAGCAGCTAGGCACAAAATGATGATGACAACACGTTTCATGATTCACTATTCACCGTGGTTTGATGGTGCTTATTGCAAGCAGACTGAGGAATATCATTAGATGACCAGAAATGATGAAAGGATGAATTCTTCAAACCAGGACGCCGAAACAATCATGAAAGCCTTTCTCGAATATTAAAGAGATTCTAATAATTATTGTTGCCAGAGCTTTTTATGTCTTTAAAGGCAATTATGTTTAAAAGGAGGTATAATCTAAGAACGAATGAGAACACAAAGATTTCTAACCATCGATCGTATTATTTCCATACTTAAGGGCAGGTCAATTTTGTTACTCTTATACATGAGAACGATTGCACATTAGCAAGCGGGACGGA